GAGGTCTGGGCTTATCACAGAGCCCCAGACTGGTTTGGGTTAGAAGGGACCTCAAAGCTCCTCCAGCTCCAACCCCTGCCACAGGCAGGGACCCCTTCCACTGGAGCAGCTTGCTCCAAGCCCCTGTGTCCAACCTGGCCTTGAGCACTGCCAGGGATGGGGCAGCCACAGCTTCTCTGGGCACCCTGTGCCAGCGCCTCAGCACCCTCACAGGGAAGAGCTTCTGCCTAAGAGCTCAGCTCAGTCTCTCCTCTTTCATTTTATCCTTTCAGTACAAGACGGAAGAAGAAAGAATGAGCAGAGAGCACAGGACTGCCCAACACACCACAGGCATTGTGAGAACAGCACGTCCAGTCCCACTGAAGCCCCAAGTCATAGAATCACAGAATAGTTAGGGTTGGAAAGGACCTTAAGATCATCAAGTTCCAACCCCCCTGCCATGGGCAGGGACACCTCGCTCTAAACCATATCACCCAAGGCCTCGTCCAACCTGGCCTTGAACACTGCCAGGGATGGAGCATTCACAACCTCCCTGGGCAACCCATTCCAGTGCCTCAGCACCCTAACAGGAAAGAATTTCCTCCTTATATCCAATCTAAACTTCCCCTGTTTCAGTTTGAACCCATCACCCCTTGTCCTATCACTACAGTCCCTAATGAAGAGCCCCTCCCCAGCATCCCTATAGCCCCCGTTCAGATACTGGAAGGCTGCTCTGAGGTCTCCATGCAGCCTTCTCTTCTCCAGGCTGAACAGCCCCAACTTTCTCAGCCTGTCTCCATACAGGAGGTGCTCCAGTCCCTGATCATCCTCGTGGCCTCCTCTGGACTTGTTCCAACAGTTCCATGTCCTTTTTATGTTGAGGACACCAGAAGTGCACACAATGCTCCAAGTGAGGTCTCACAAGAGCAGAGGGGCAGGATCACCTCCTTCGCCCTGCTGGTCACTCCTTTTGATGCAGCCCAGGATACGGTTGCTTTCTGGGCTCAAGCGCACACTGCAGCCGGCTCATGTTCATTTTCTCATCAACCAGCACCCTCAAGTCCTTCTCCTTGGGCTGCTCTGAATCTCTTCTCTGCCCAGCCTGTAGCTGTGCCTGGGATTGCCCTGACCCAAGTGTAGGACCTTGCACTCGACATGGTTAAACTCCATGAGGTTGGCATCAGCCCACCTCACAAGTGTGTCAAGGTCCCTCTGGATGGCATTCCTTCCCTCCAGCGCATCAACCCAACCACACAGCTTGGTGTCATCGGCAAACTTGCTGAGGGCGCACTCAATCCCACTGTCCATGGCAGCGATGAAGATGTTGAACAAGACCGGTCCCAACCCCGATCCCTGAGGGACACCACTCATTACAGGTCTCCAGCTGGACACTGAGCCATTGACCACAACTCTTTGTGTGCAGCCATCCAGCCAGTTCTTTATCCACCGAGTGGTCCATCCATCAAACTGATGTCTCTCCAATGTAGAGACAAGGATGTCGTGTGGGACAGTGTAGAACGCTTTGCACAAATCCAGGTAGATGACATCAACTGCTCTACCCCTCTCCATCAGTTCCACAGCCCCATCATAAAAGGCCACCAAATTGGTCAGGCAGGATTTCCCCTTAGTGAAGCCATGCTGGCTGTCACCAAGCACCTTGTTGTTTTTCACGTGCCTTAGCATGCCTTCCAGGAGAATCTGCTCCAAGATGTTGCCAGGCACAGAGGTGAGACTGACTGGTCTGTAATTCCTCAGTCATCCATTTCCCCTTCTTGAAAATGGGGGTTATATTTCCCTTTTTCCAGTCATTGGGAACTTCACCCCACTGCCATGATTTGTCAGATATGATGGACAAGTTCTTCCCAGGGAGCTCACCCTTAGGGATGCAGCTGACACCACACTCCCAAAACATGGCTCAGAAAGCATCCCTCTGCTGTTAACTGAGGGGCTTGGCCGGGTGCCCCCTCCTCTGCCTCCAGCAGATACTCACACTTCCCTGTCTGAGCAGTGCACAGCTCCTCACCCGTGCTCTCTGGAGCTCTGTGACACTGGACCAGTGGAAGGGCAGAAGCCAGAGGAGGAGGTACAGAAGCCAGAGGAGGAGGTGCAGAAGCCAGAGGAGGAGGTACAGAAGCCAAACGCTCTTCAGCCCCTGTCTCAAGAGATCAGGTGCTTCATTCCACAGAGTTTTTGAACCAGCAGATCATTGTTACGATGCAGTTTCTTTTGCAGCACAGCACATCCTGTACAGCAAACTTGTCCAAACTGTTACCTAAATAACAGTGTCTAATATGGAAATTCTGCTACCATTTATGTCTTTCTTCACACCAGTTACAAATACAACGAATCAGAGCTGGAAACTTTTAGGACACCACTATCAGCTCTGCATCATGACAAAAATCCATTTGCTTCTATGCTTGGCTTTCTGTCTGTGAACCAGCCTAGGTTGTGTGGTGCTTCACTTCTCCATCTGTGACAACGCAGGTTCCCAATCCACCACTTGTGCGGGATGTTTTAGAAGGAAAATCAAAATAGGATGTATCAGCAAATTCTTCTTTACCTCCTGTTTCAGTTACGTGCCTCAAGGCATTCTGTGAATCTGTCTATGAATGAAACTCAAGGCAGGGTTGGGGTTTTATGTTTGTTTTAACCAAGCTTGACTTCCAAAGCACTTGTTTGCACTGAGGCAAAAGGAACAAACCAAGTCTGAGTTTTTAGGCCAGGTCATTGTTTTAAGCTATGAGATTCTGGAGAAGCAGCAGCAGATTAAAGATGTGCTAGATTGTGTTTCCCAGATAGGCCTCTCTGTAATAACCTCCTTAATCAAGTTTGCATTTCCGAAGGCAATGAAGAATCATCTCAGAGGAGGTGGCACATGAATCATGTTAGAAACAGCTCTTCAGTGCCTCCCACCTCCTGCAGACCTGCCTTGGGACACGGAGCCCCCTGACTGCTGCGCTGCTGTGGGCACAGCGGGCAGAGGGAAGCTCCTTGGAACAGTGCAGGACCTGTGCCATGGTGGGAGGAGTCCTGCAAGGTGAATGGGAACCTCCACTAAACAGAGTCCTGACAGCCTCCAGCTGTAGAATTCACTTAAATACCTCGCTTACATACAGAGCACTGTCTAGAGGATAAACTTCATGGCTGGCTCTATCACCAGATGCTCGGGCACGTTGTGAGTGTGACTGTCATCATGAGTGATTTAAAATCTAATTCAGAAATTTGATTCAAAGTGATAAAAATACCCCCTTTTAAAAGTGACTTCTGACAAAAGTTATCAAGATGCTGAGATGCTCTTTCAGAGGAGGGTGGTTGAGAAACCACTGCTCCTTCCCTCAGCAGATCTCAGTCACACAGCACTGTGCAGGAAGGCTCCAGGGCTTGCACTGCCACTGAGAATTTTGCCAAATAGTAGAAAATACTCTTATAAACCTATTTTTTGCTCTAAGAGAAAACAGGCAGAAGCCATAATAAACTAAGCATACAGTTCTGCCAGAATGTGGATGTACTGGACAATGCTGGGTTTCTCTCACCTGTACAGGTCTGTAATCTGCCCTTGGTTCCAACGATAGCAGAGGTCATTGAGAAGACGCTCATGCTGGCCATACAAGCAGATGTAGTTGGAGGCAGGAAAGGGTTCCTTTGAAAAGCAGGTGATGCCATCGACCATGCTGTATTTGTTGATATGCATCCTGAAGTAATTCCCTTCTCTTGCCTCTCCGGTGATGATCTCCATCCCCTGGAACAGAACACACAAGGGAAGCTGTGGAGGTGGAATGAACCCCAGCCTGGGCACACGCAGAGGACAGGGCTCCCCAGCTGTTATTTACCACTTCTGAAAACCCACAGCCCTTTTTCTGCACCACAACACCCACTCCTGGTAACATGCGTTATACAGCAAGATGCTTTGCTATGGCTTGGGTGCAAACACTTCCTGTGTGGATTAGACCTTGGTAACTGCACACAAACTGCAGCGTACGGGCAGGCGGGCTGTGCTGCCAGCCCCCAGTGCCATCCAGACACCATGGGGTGCACTGGCACTTGGGACACAGGAGCCATGGGGACCTGTGACCTCCTGGCGCAGCAGCTGGGGTCCCCAGACAGCAGGAGGTGCCTGTTTCAGCAACTGAGTTGACCTTTATTCATGCCACTTTATTATGCATTACTGCTGACGTGTGTGGTGTAGTCTACTATAGGGTACCACCTGATGCATGAAGAACACAGGGGTGTACCTGTACTCCCTCTCCAGATTTATAACTATGCATGTGTTTTCATATATGTACATACAAACGGTGTATGTCCTGAGTCCAAATTCATGGCACATCATAGAAACTATGCTATTGCAGGCAGAGGGTTGGCACAATCCCATTAACCAGCTCCAAGCAGACTTCAACATTACAACTCAACGGCTTATCACAGACCAGTTAAGCATCCTGGCTTTGTGTACAGGTTTTCCATAGTCAGAGGTGTGACCTCCAACAAAGGAAGAAGTACAGGCAGGTTCCTGGTCAGCTCTAAAGCAAACTTCTATGTTTTCTAAATGGCACTGTGCTCTAGATGCTTGCCCACAGCTGAAGGAGGCTGCGCTTGATCTCTTGGGATGTTTCCACCTTTCAAATGGTGAATTATTACTGCCTTTAAAAAACACACATGCGTATGGGCACGTGTGTGTGTATCTATACATACACACACACATACACACACATGTATATTGGTTTAGAATTGCTCACCACGGCTCCCTCCTGCTAATTTGAGTAAGGGCTGCCACCAACTCTCCTATCAATAAAAGACTAATAATGGGGGGTGTTGAGGCTCAAACTGTAATATTTGGGTTCAGCTGCTGAAATCAATCACTTAAAAGACACAAATGTAAAGATTTGCTTCAGACCTCACATTGCAGTGGATGATCAAATAGCTTGAAGCTATTTTTTAAGCTGTACTCATGTTCCAGTTTCATCCGTTTCTGAGACCTGTTGCTAGGCTACAGTCCCCTTTGTTACTTCCACATCTCTCTGCTAATACATCTCACTGCCTTCGCTTACTCCTTCCTCAGGGAATTCTTCCAGGATTTACTTGAAGTTCCTGGAGTGGCTGTGGAGGCGTTCACCTTTCAGAGAGCAGGTAAGCAACGCTGCAGCAGAACAATTCTCACCATGTTCTAGCAACCTGGAGTGATAAAGACAGTTTTCCCCTCCCTGATAGTCCTTTGAGCTTCCCAGTACACGCTGCTTTGGCCAGCTCATCTGGGTCTGCAAAGCTGGGGAACAAGGTGAGCCAGGCTTCGATTCCTGCCCCCAGAGCATGGATTCCTTTTTAAACAAAATCACTTCTTTCCATGGACCATTTCTGCTTGAGTTCTAGAATCAACACTGAAGTAGTCTTTTAAAAGCCACTCTTTATATGAACTACAAGAATGGGCTTGATGCAGAAACCCCTGAGGAAAAAGGTATGATCTGCATGAACAGAGGCTTGTCGAGGTGAGCGGTCCTCCCTAGCTTTAGAAGACATGAATCTTGTCCTGCCCTTGTTTCACAAGTCAGGTTCTCCTGTAGAAGTGTCTCTTCACTGGTGCCATGGGACAATCTCCTGTGCAGCCCAGCTGTGTGAACTGCTTCCCCACCATGAGACAGCTCTCACGGCTGCAGCACCAGCTGCTTTCTGCCACTGAAGTACAGAGCACCCCTTCCAGAACACATCCTTTCCCTACTGCTCTACAAACCAGCCCCATTTCACTGAGAGACCACATAGGTTTGTCATCTCTATGACTACATGCATGCATCGCTAGCCCCTTACTGCAGGGAGGAAAGAGGTTAAGCACTAAGGCTGAAAGGGTATTTTAGTGAATCTCAGCTGATCCTGTCCTATGTCCACTCTACAGAGACCATGCTTACTGAAGGTGTTTCAAGGTGTGTGGGGCCTGTGCAGGTACCTGTGCCACCCTAAATAAGGACATCTTCCCAAATGGAGGACAGAACAAAGGAAAGTTCAGTACTGCAACTTACATGGTCACACAGGGCAAGTTCCAAGTCCAGGCGGATGGGGATCCCTGGTTTGGCAATATGCAAGTAGTGATAGCCTCCAGGAAGAACACCCCCTGCCAGGAGGGAAATAGGAGATTAATTAAATCACAAGCAAAGAACAAAATAAAGTGTTTGTTTGCTCTCCATCATCTCTTTTTGTTTGTCTCTTTACTAAATGACTCTAAAAATAGAACCAGGAACTTATTTTGTTTTGGTGGAATTTGTGTTATACATTCCTGGGTGCTCTTACACATACTGGTGCAGCAGCCACACACTGGAAAGTTCTGATTGTAGTTTTATTGATCTTGAACTTGGAATGAAGAGACTGGCTTTCACTGGAAACACTCCATGTTCACTGCAATGTAAGTGAAAGCACAGCTTGGCTCGTTAGGAGCAAAACTACTACAGCAGTGTAAGCTCTTACTGCAACTCACCTCTCTCCACTGACTAGATACGGAACACTGAGAGCTTCACTGCCATGAGATGACAGCTTGGGTGAGGTGGAGCTACCCTGGTTAGCTCCAACACCAGGAAGGGTACGAAAGGATGAGAGAATCCAGTTGGACATACCTTTAATTTTGCACCCTTTGTATGTGGGGATGAGTCTGTCTGTGCCTTCTGGTGCCACAGAAGAGGGCTGAGGGGTTAGATCCAGGAGACTCAGCATTGATGCAGCGAGCTCAAAGCCAATCTCTTTTGAACTGAAATTGCTGTGTGTCCACTCATCTACATAATATCTCCTGGAGTACTTTGTTAAGGGACCTGCAGCCCTGATGCTCACATCATTAGTACAGAATTTAGTATCGATCACAAGTCTCCCATCAAAAACCAGGCAAGCGTCATTAATTGCCTTAAAGGTTTCATAATCCACCGTCCTGTAGGCAAAGCTAAAAAATGCCTGGAAAAGAGATGTAAATAAGTGGAGGTTATTACACATCAGTTACTGGCTCTTTTCATAAATCAAAACCTGCTTTTCACGCTGAACATTATGTATCTTAAAAAACAAGGACATAAAACAAAGCATGATTTTTATAGACACAGAAAAGTCCTTCTGACGCAGGAGTTACAGCTGCTCAAATTAACCCAACAGTAGTGAGGAGGAGAATTACTGAACTGGACTCATCTGGTTATCAGAGGAGCTTCCTTTTAAAAACTAATAGTAACTGTGTGGAACAGCCTGAGTGGTTCTGCAGATCTGTGTTAGTGTGAGCTTATGGAACAGACTTGAACCTTTTCTTTTGAAGCTTTTCCTCTTCTTTCAAAGAAAAGCCAAACCGAAAAGCTAAGAAATGAGAAGGTACAATGTACTCTGCATCTTAACTGCATCTTCTAAACCTGCTTTCAACTGTTGTGCCTGACTCTTTGCCAACAAACCACATCACCCTGGCACCCAGCACAGGGACCTTCAGTGAAATGGGAGAGAGGAGATTAAAATCATTCGGGGGTAATGTCATGCCCACTCAGACCACAGCAGCAGAACTTCAGTGGAAGCTGTGGAGGCCAAGGGATTTAAGAGAGGTACGAAAGGACTGAGTATCCACATGAAAAGGAAAGCATTCGCATCTGGTATCCTTGATAGCGATGTCGATTTTGGAAAGCCTACCCAGACTTTGTCAGGACTGAAAGACATCTCTAACTGCTCCAGGTCTGGCTAACACTTCCTCTGGGAGGCAAAGCAAATACTGGTCTGTTGTTCCCTTGGTGCCTGGGACTGCTGGGCCACTCCTGGAGACAGGGCATGGGTCCAGATGGACACCAGATCCCTGGACATCACCTGCACCAGCCCAGGGAAGGCTGTGTCTGTCTGGAAAGTCCTTGGTACATCTGGCGCTCACTTACTGAGCCTGGGGATGAGCAGATACCCATTCACTGTGCTTTGTTTTGTGGGTCTAAACAGAGATGTGACTTCTGTGGCCCTGCGGTAGGGGTTTATCTCAGGACCAGCATCTACTGACGCCAAGAGCTCATCTTCCCCACAGGAAGATTTCAAAGTCATTGAAAGAAAATCACCCTAAATCCTCCAACTCCTCCTCGAGGTCTCAGAGAGGAAAGCGCTGATGGTTCCCTCCCTTTGTCTTCCCGCGGACCCGCACAGCGCCTCCTCTGGGGCACGGGGAAGCCGCCCAGCCCCATGGCCCGGGACGGAGCTGAGCGGCAGCGCTGCGGGGCCGGCGGGGCCGCTGCATGGAACAGAGGCACCGGCACCCGCGCTGCCAGGCCAGGGGAGCCTGAGGAGCCGCTCTCACCCCGGGCACAGCCTTCGGTCTGCGCCGCACAGGCACCAGGGAGCAGCGCCAGGGCCACGCACATCTGATCCCTGCCCGGGTATGTGCTTTATCCGGTTGTCTGTGCTGCCGAAAGGAACGTCTGGAACCTGGAGCCAAACGTGCGGTCCCCGGGGACAGAAGTGCTGCGGAAGGTAAACCCTGCATCACCTGGAGGTGCTCAGCTCTGAAACACGAGAAATGAGCAGCAGGGAAGGGAGGCTGGGTCACTGCAGCTTGGAGCCAGGGGCACACACACAACAGCCCCTGCCCTAGGCCCTCACCCCCATCTGAGCACCGCAAACAGCAGAAGCGGGAGAAGATACAACTGGGAGCAGCATCTCTGCAGTTGCCTCTTCCAAAGGCCAAACAGAAAGCTGGCAGAACAAGTGTCCCAAACCCAGGGTAAAACAAGAGAGCACGCTGGACATTGAGGGGTGAAAGTAGTTAAGAGTGACGAGGTTGAGAGATGTTCTGAACAAGACCGTGGTCTGCCAGGGGTGCGGATGAAGACTGACCATCTCACTGGTGCAACACAGTTTGTGCAGCTTCAGAGCCTTTACAAGGCGCTCTCCCTGTCATCAGTGCCCTCAGCTTTTAAAATCGTTACACAACAGAAGCTGACTGTTGCTCCCCAGCATCAAGAAATATCACTGTACAGGCTGGGGAAAGGGTGAAACAGTACTTGGAGAAGCACAGGTCACCTCGCTGCCTTCACCCTGACCAGCCCGAGACACTGTATGAGGGCAAACCAGCACCAGTAACACGTTCTTCCCTCAGCGCCAGCCTCAGGCAGGAGGCGGCTGTGACCTGGGTGAAGGCATTACCTGATTACCCCACCAAACAGCGTCCCTGTGGACTAAGGGCAAGTGCCAGATGCTCACGACCAGAAGAAAAAGCAGAGGAGAGGAGGGAGAAGAGGCCTGGGCATGTCAGCAACGCTGGTACGGCAGAGGCAGGCAGCAGAGGAGCCGGAGCCGCTGGGCTTTCTGTAGGCAGTAGGCACAGGTCAGGGCATTGCCCCCATCCACAGCATCCCGAAGCTGGGAAGCTCTGCCCGCGCGGGCACGAGGACCACCCAGCCCCAGCGCTGCTGACAGCAGCCGTGTCACCGAGGGGAGGGGACGGCAGCGGGCTCCAGGCTGGGAGCCATCTGTCAGTGCGGAGGCAGGCAGGGAGGCAGGGGGCAGGGAGGGAGGCAGGAAGGGAGGCACAGGGGCAGGGGGCAGGCAGGGAAGCAGGAAGGGAAGCAGGCAGGGAGGGAGGCAGAGGGGCAGGGGCAGGCAGGGAGGGAGGCAGGAAGGGAGGCAGAGGGGCAGGGGGCAGGCAGAGAAGCAGGCAGGGACGCAGGCAGGGAGGCAAGGGGCAGGGAGGGAGGCGGGGGGGGCAGGCAGGGAGGGAGGGAGGGAGGCAGAGGGGCAGGGGGCGGGCAGGGAGGCAGGGGACAGGCAGGGAGGCAGGAAGGGAAGCAGGCAGGGAGGGAGGCAGAGGGGCAGGGGGCAGGCAGGGAAGCAGGCAGAGGGGCAGGGGGCAGGCAGGGAGGGAGGCAGGCAGGGAGGCACAGGGGCAGGGGGCAGGCAGGGAAGCAGGCAGAGGGGCAGGGGGGGGAGGGGCAGGGGGCAGGCAGGGAAGCAGGCAGAGGGGCAGGGGGCAGGCAGGCAGGGATTTTCTCCCGCTGTTCCACCCTGCAGGACTCTACAGATCAAGCTCCCCCGGGCTGCCAGTCAAGAGATGATGCTGGCTGAGAGCACTGAAGGCTCGAGCACAGCCCGCTCCCGGTGGAGGCTGCTCTCGAGGCCTGGCCCAAAGGCGGTGGGCAAAGAGATGGGCTGGTGGGAGGTGGTCGTGGATATTCACTCGCAAGAACAAGAACCGCATGGGGATCTCTCTGGAGGGGGATTTTAGGGAAAGAGGAGGGACACTGAACAGCTACGTATGAGGAGAGAGTGAGGAACGTCCCTGCTGATACGGAGACCAAAGTCAGGAGACTGCCAGCAAAGGGCTTTGCGAGGTCTTCGCTCCAGCAGGAAGGGCTTCACTACCCATGTGTTAAAACAGGACGGGTAAAGGCCGGGGACTGAGAGCTTCCAGCGAGGGGAGCCCTGCAGGGGAGCCGGGCGTGCGGAGGGGCCGGGTGGCTCCCGGCAGGCGCGGGGTTGATGTGGCTCTGTCACAAGCACGGGGGTTACCCCAGTGGTGAAAACCAGAACGACTCTGCCCATCAGGAAAGCCCCAAATCCCGAAGAGGGGCCACACCAGAGTGTGCACCTTAATTTGGTTAGATAAGGCACTGACCCCATAGATGAGCACACCCATAGTCAGGGATGTAGGGGGAGAAAGATGTGTTTTTAAAATACATTTTGATTGCATTAAACAGTAGGCCTCTACCCTTTTTGGCTTCTATTGTGACTTAATCAAATGCACAGAACTATAGGCAGGAGGAACTGCAAATTTAAATGATAAAAGGATTTCTGGAATTGTTTAGAAAATGAATTAAGAGTATTTGTCACTCATCAGTGAACAACTGCTTTTGAGTCAGGTGACTTCAGTACATCAGGCAGGGTACAGCCATGGCTTTGCTTGGATTTTTCAAAGCCAACCCTTTAGACTAACGAGTGCTCAATCTGCTCCAGACAACGAGGAAACAGCTAAACCAGGGAGGGACTGGCTACCTTTGATGGCCTTTGCCTTAAAGCCAGACTGATGAAGTGC